TTGACTTCGCCATTGCGTGTCATCGAGACCGTCGAGCAGGGTGGGAAGGATCTTCTTGACACCATAGGAACTGAGATTGGCGAAACAAGCCTTAGCTGCGTCAAGGCAAGCATCACGGACGTCGGCGTTAGGGTCACCGAAGCCGGCCAGAAGTTGCGGGACAATCTGGATCACATATGGTTCAAAGATGCGACCAAGGATAGTCGCAAAAAGCTCGTAAGCCAACAGGGCACCTTGTCTCTGGTGTGGTTCCTTCTTGTTGTCCGCGGCTGCGCGAAGGTGGGACATGACCTGGAACTCGCGAAGGGTAGAGATACCCTTACCGCTGACGATACCACCAAGACCATAGGCGGCACCGCGTTGTGTGGCATACTTCTTCGACTGCAGGAGTTGATCCAGCATTTCCTGAACGTATCCTGCGCTTCGGGAGCCAGAAAGACGGATAAGAGGCGGAAGACATGTGGAAGCAGCGGCCTGCACACTTTCCGAAGGTGTTGGGAGAGTGGCGAGAAGTTTCTGAATAACGGTCTGCAAACGAGGATCATCGGCCTTGAGATGCTGGGCAATAGATCCGTACAAGACCACCACTGCTTCGTTCAGCAGGTCAGAAGTTTCACTTCCCTTGTCTGATGTCTCCAATGTAGTCTCCAAGAGAATCATCAACTCTTCAACCTTCTGCTGGCCGCGCGCAGCAATCACAGATTGACCGGCCTCGGCCATTTGAGTCCTGACCACACCGCTGCGGTCGATCAGAGGACCCCTTTCAATCAAGAATCGGAGGAAAGAAACAATATGATCGCCCTCAAACCTAGGGGTCATTGCACTGAATGCAAGAGCAATGCCGCTGCGGAATTCCCAATGGTCTGTCAAGTCCATCTTCTTGGGCATTCCGTATGCGTCCTTCTCGGGTGCTTTGGGCCTGGCCTCGATTTCATACTTGGCTTGCAGCTCGGAAACAATATCGCCAAACACGGAAGGGTTCGATTCAATGGCATGTGCCAGCGCACGAGCTGCAGCACCTCTGAGCTGTGCGTCCTTGGAACCGAGGTATGGAATAATCTTCCCGTACGTGGAGTCATCGACCTCCAATGCATTATCTTCCCATATTGTTTCCGCAAGTTCGGCATTCTCTTCCACTTGGTCGTGGCACTCCAACCAGATTTGTTCGTAGAAATCGAGGTCGGTCAAATCAATCTCAGCATCGATAGCCTGCAAGAAGGATGTCCGAACCGACACATCCGAGACGATGGTGCCCTTGAGGAGAACATCGAGCTCTTCTTTGGCAAGGTTGGGCGAGATGCATCTGCACAGATCGAACAGAGTATCCTTGATCAACTTGTAATGAGTAGTGTACTTCTGCATCGAGGTGAGCAAGTGCTCCAGCACCGCAACGCGAGGAAGACGTTCATCACCGAACGAGCCGGAATGGAAAGACAGGAATTCAAGAGCAAGCAGCACTTGTTCTCCCTCTTGCTCCGCGTCCTGCTCGTCAACCCCATTTTGGGTAATGATGGCAAAAATTAGCGGAAGGAGATAGGCCAAAGATGAGATGTCGAAGGGGCGTTGTTCGGAAGCGAAGCGCAAACGGTAGAGAATTCTCGTTACAAGTTGTCCCAGAGGCTCTATTTCCATCTCAGGAGGCAGGTTGCTTTTTCCCAGAGCTCGCAAGGTAGCAACACCGACGAAAGTGCGCAACGGGCCCAATCGGGTAGATACCTTTTCGGAACATTTGACGTATGTCTTGGAAATGGTGTCGCCGGTGATTAGACCAGCACCAGCCTCCGAGGCGGCCAGCAAGGAGCTCACGGCGGCATTGATCCAACCATCAGCATCAACGGCAGGGCCATCCGCGAGGCCTTGAGTGATGCCGGCACCCCTCTCGATTCTCTTGACCTCCTGAAGAACCTCCTCGCGGATTTTAGACTCCTTTGCGAGCTGGGCCTTAACCTTAGCCTGCTCGTCTACGGTGAGCTTCTTCGGTTTCTCGCCCTTCTTTGCAGCCAACTGCGAGCGCAGCTCTTCCTCCCACTTGAGGATGTCGTAGTCCTTGGTGTTCTTGTCAAAGGCAGGCTGTTTAGATTTGGTGCTCAAGACATCGACAAACATAGTGCCCTCAGGAGTACGGGCGATAGCCGCGTCGGTCGGTGTCAACTTAGAAAGTCGGGAAGAATCCAAATCGATCTGGATCTGAGAAACAAGCTGAGGGACCATAGTGTCAGGAGCCACAAATGCCAAGTCTCCGGCAGCAGCCCACACAGCAGCATCGATTTCAGGGATTTTGGATTGAACAGGATCCTGTAGGTAGAAAATTTAGCAAAAGAGGAGTTTAAGACAGGAAGGATATGAGGAGGCCGTACCGCTTGAACTTGGTTTAACTGCTTCATGCATTCCTCTGAGAACTCACGAACAAGGTTCCCGGGGTCCGTTCCGGTGCGTAGACACAAGGCAATCCATGAAACATTCGGGATCAGTTCTGGCCGGCAAAGGATGAGAAGTTTGACAAGCTGGCCTTTCAGTTCAGGGGTTACTTTTTCCAACTCGGGCACACTGGATGCGCTCGGGCAGAGGGCCTTCGCAATGAGGTGGAGGAACCGTTCGCTTTCTGGACCCGCGGAAACTGGGGCAGATTCTTTCTCGGCGGTTCTAAAGGAAAGAATCCAAGCCCATAGAGCATCTATCATGACACGGCTAATCAGCCCGATGTTCTTGAGATGGACCTCCGACAATGTACGAGCGGAGCTCTCTCGGAAGTTTGTGTGAAGACCGGGCGAAGTAATAGTGAAGATAAACGCCTGTCCCCAAGCAACCTTAGCGGCATCTTCGGCGCCCTCGAATTTCGAGCTGGATGCGATGGCAGCCAGCGTCCTGACGGCCCATTGAGTCTCAGCTTGTGAGGTCAACTTAGAGTAGGCTCTAGGGTTCAAAAGGAACGAGGGCTTGGGGCTGAGCACGAGCGATTGGGTCACTACGGTGTCCCACGCAGCCTGGTCAAAGTCCTGCACAGCAGCCAAGTGCCCGGCAAGCGCCAGAAAGACGTAAGCTGATGATAGGGCGCCGCTCTGAGCCGATGGCAAGGGATTAGAAGAGACTTCAGTGAACAATTCCTTCATCTTGTTGAGGAATTTAGTCACGAGCCAGGCCACCTCAGGATTGACTAGATTGGCAGGATCGGCGTTCCAGAAGACCTCGCCAACATTGAGCTGCCACAATTTGCGGAATGGGATTCGCTTTTCCGCAGATCCCTTGACAATGGTGTTGACGACGTCATCGCTGACCTTGACATTCGATTTGACAAGAACAGCCAGGTGGATAGAGAACGCTTTGATTTCTTGTTCCAATGCAACCTCATTGGACTCACGCGTAAACACGGGAACGAGTCCCTGGACCACATCCTTGGAGAGACTGACCGAGGGTAGGACAGCCGAGAGCGATTGAGCATATGCGGCACGGTGCTCGGGATTAGTGATTTTTTGGGTCTTCAGAGGACCGATAACCTCGCTCGCGATATTGAGAAGCAAGCCCTCAGCCTTGGATCGAGAGAGTAACGATTCGAAGGATTGGACAGCGCCTTGTCTGATGGCCGGGTTGTTCGACTTCATGCTGGCAAGAAGGTGCTTCAGTAGCCGGGATTGCAGGACCTCCGAGAGATCAACGTCTTCCGGCAGCGCGGAGCAAAGCGACGGTACCAGACCGCTGAAAACCACCTCCGGGGCTCGCAGGATGGCCTTCTCCAAAGGCGGGATGATCTCGGACACCACGTCATCATAGGATACGAATGCGACGAAGAAGTCGAATAGGCCGTTGGCAATATGGCCTGGGGGAACAGTCTTGGATCCGACAAGTTCCTTGACATAGAACGCGACAATGGCCTTCTTTTCCTCCTCCAGCACAGCCTTCTTCCCTGGCAGACGGGCGCAAACTCCGGAGATGACCCCAAGAAAGGGCGCATTCTTCTGTCCCGCGGTGGAATCGCTGGTCAATCGGCGGACGGATTCACGAATGGCATCGTCACCTCGGGTTGGCGATGAGAAAACGGCTCGTAGAGCGCGTCGGGTGACTCTAAGCGCGGATTGCTTTACGGCGGATTTGGGGCCGGCGGAAAGGCAGGTTTCCAGAGCCTTGGCGTCCACGGCGATGAGATCCAACACGACAGGAAGCGGCGTCTCGGAATCGGTTTTGAAGTTCTGGAGCAAGATCGAGCACCATTCTAGTAGCACGAAGGCGGAACTGGCCGCCAATCCGGTCTTGGACGATTCAATTTGCAACTTCTGGGTGAGAAGCTTGAGAAGGTCGGACGACACTGGGTCCACCAGAAGCGAGCGGAGACATTGCTGAACGGCCTGTCGGGACGCACGGTCGACGTAGAGAGGATAAGTCTTGAACAGAAGTTCGATGAGAGGCTCACGAATTGTTTGAGGGAGATCGGAACCTGTGAGAGCAGCCAACGGTGAGAATTGGGGATGGAATGCGAGAGGGAGGGAGGGAGAGAAAGCGAGGGAGGGGTTCCAGGCGGCGCCATGCCACTCTTACCAATTCGATCGCGCAGGTCCTGGAGAGCACGAATTCTGCGAGAAGTCGAACTCGTGAAGAGAACGAGATGCAGAGTCTCCAGGTCCCCTGCCTTTACTTGATCCCATGGAAAGTCGTCCATGTTTGGGCCTGGAGCATGTCGGGACGGGAGAATGGAGTTGGGCCTGCGGTCGATGATGTTGTCATAAAAGTTTTCGGCGTTGTGGGGAGAGCTCGCCGCCCAATAATCAAGGCCTCTTACTCTCTCTCTCTCTCTTTCTCACTCGCTCCTCTCCGACCTTCATTCAATTTCCTTTTCCACGATTTCTTTCAACTTTGGTGTTCTGCAAAAGACATAGACTTACATTTGTGTTGATTTCTCTTTTTTTCTTCTGTTATTTTCTCTTTTTCTCTTTATTCCCCTCTCTCCCTCTCGTATCTTTTCTGCATTTATACCCCCGCCTCCGCCCCCCAGTGATTCATCACCCACTATGCCGCCAAATAACAAGAAAAAGAAGAAGCCCGCCTCTAACCCCGCAAGAGGGTTCGCAACAGTCTCGGTGCCTTCGAAACCAAAGCCGATCGCCTCTACTGACTCTACAGCTCCTACAACGGCCGCCGAATCGAAGTCGGTTTCGGAGAGTGATCGACCTACCCCCGCGGAGCCCAGCCAACCTGCGCCCGCGACGCAAGACACTTCTTCGCTGCAGAATTATTCCCCCGAGGAGCTAGAAAAGCATCTGGAGGATGCGGAGCTACAAATACTGGTGGATAAATACGCAGCGAAATGCAAGAATGACGCCGCCCGCCAAGTCACCAAACTGGAAACCGAGCGAAGAGTTCTCCGCCAACAGGCCGTATTATTAAACCTTCTAGAATGGCTCCCTAGGGATATACTGGACTCCATATTAGGTCTCGTCGAGATGGAAGAGCGCGAACTTAGTCCCTTGCCGGGTCGCGATCCGAATGGCCTGAAAAAGGCCAGCTCGGAAGAAGAGCTATACGGGAGAGTCTGGACTCTAAAGGAGACCCTACTGAAACTTGGATTCCCCGAGGAAAGAGTAGAAGAGGTTTTAAAGCACCTTTTGCTTTATTTTGCCGGTAATTTTGCCTATGCCAATAGGGACATGGTGTGTAATCTGGACGAGGCGTTGGACTGGCTCGCCATGCACTGCAAACTGAAGGAACTACCGTCCTATTTACAGACGACCACGCAGCTGCGCAAAGATGAAAAGAATATCTCTTGGATAACCGGTAACTCTTTCAAGTGCTTCGTATCGTGTGCGGACTCGGAATAACTAATCGACACTAGATCGTGAGCCAGCACAATCCCCGGTCCCCAAAGTAACTCAGGATAAAAGCAAAGCCAAGCCGGCGAAAAGCGAAAATAGGGAATCAATTCCCTCGAGTCCTTATGACTCGGATAGTTCTTTGGATCCCGATACCCTGATGCCCAAGTTTTTGGATTTGCAAACTAAATTATATGGCCTGCAGCCTGATCTCTTCGACAAACCCAAAAGAGGGAAGAAATCAGGCCGAGAGGCCACCGACTCTGACGGTGAAAACCCGCAAGTAATAAGGTTGCAGCGTAAAATTGCCAGCATTGAAAATGATGTACTTTTTGACCGCGCCGAGGCTGAATATCGGTGGAGGGAGAAGTTGGACGACCTTCGCAAAGAGGCTGCCTTTTCCCGACAAATGGAGCCCGAAAAGAAAACTTCTCCAGATGCCAACGGCGATAAAGAGGAGAAGTCAGAGCAAGCCTTGCCTCCAAAAGAGGACATCGATGATGCTGCAGATCTTCTAGGTGACATGTTCCAGGGTGAAGAACCGATTCTGGAAACCGGTGTGATCACCGAAGAACTCAACAAAGCCGCTGTGACAATCCGTGACTTTGGCAAATGGACAGGCTTAAATCCTCGTCGTGTGTTAGAGGAGACTTGCAGGGCAAGGTATGGTCATGGGTCTCCCTCTTTCGTAGCTCTTGCATGAGCCCGTCTAATAGCTGTTGCTATTCTTTTAGGGATTCTGGGTCCACTGTTACATACAAAGACTTTTCCCCTTCGTCACATACCAACCGCAGGGCAGTTGAGGTGCGGTGGTCCAAGCCTCAGGACCGTCCCTTCCAGTTTGAATGGGATGCAGTTACTCACAAGTCAAGCCCATGGGCCACCTTCGTGTCAATGGACAACCTGGCGACACCGACACCGCAGCAGGCAGAAGCATTCGTCTCAACGTTAGCTCTTTTCATTCTTTTCCCACAGAGCTCAAAGGAAGGGAAATCATACCTGCGCCTTCCAGCCGTATGGAGAGACCTGTGGACTGAATTTGCAACTGCAAAGAAGGTTCAAGAGGACGATCTGGATAAGACGGCCGTGAAGAGCTTGAAGAAGTTGATACAAGAAAACCACGGGAGCTTCGAAGATGATGTCGTCTTATTGGACAATTTCCGCAGAAGAAATGGAACTCCAAACAGAATGGAATCTTCTGCCAAGTCATCTGGTGGCAAGGAATCGTCGAACACCCAGTATCAACTACTGCAGAGTATCTGGGCAGAAAAGTCATCGACACCTTCTTTCCAGCATATGGCCCTAGGAAGAATGAACCTGCCGATCTGGAATTTCAAAGACGAAATACTCAGTACACTAGATACTCATCGTGCGCTCATCATCTGCAGTGAAACGGGTAGCGGAAAAAGTACGCAGATCCCGTCCTTCATTCTTGAAGACGAAATGCAGCGAGGCCGTCCTTGTAAGATTTTTGTCACAGAACCCCGAAGGATCTCTGCTATCTCTTTGGCTCGAAGAGTCAGCGAAGAACTGGGTGAGAGCAAGAATGACGTGGGAACGTCCCGCTCTCTCATTGGTTTTGCGGTCAGGCTGGAGAGCAAAGTCAGCCAATCTACGAGATTAGTCTTTGCGTATGCTTCCCCATCATCCCCGTCTCTCTGTTTTTCTCTATAAGAAGCGGACGCTAATATTCATCAGGACAACCGGAGTTGTGGTACGAATGCTAGAGCGCCCCGATGATTTCCAAGATATCACCCATGTCGTACTTGATGAAGTTCATGAACGTACGATCGATAGTGACTTCCTTCTCATCGTTCTCAGGCGGTTGATGCAGAAAAGACCGGAGTTGAAACTAATCCTGATGTCGGCTACCCTCGAGGCCCAACGCTTCTCCACCTACCTTGGGGGCGTTCCTGTGATGAATATTCCAGGTCGGACTTTCCCAGTGGAAATGAAGTTCCTGGAAGATGCCGTTGAGATGACAAATTACCGCCTGGCGGAGCACGATTCAAACGCCTTGGTGGATGAGGATACCGACGAAATGGCCGGCGAAAATGCCCAGGGTGATTCGACAGGTGGCCTACAAGCCGCTCTTGAAGGATACTCCAAGCAAACACGCGAAACGATCCTCAATTTTGACGAGTATCGCCTCGACTATCAGTTGATCAGAAAACTACTCATCAAGCTTGCGACGAGTCCAGAAATGGAGCACTACAGTAAAGCCATACTGATTTTCATGCCTGGTATGGCAGAAATCCGGCGCTTGAATGATGAGATTTTGTCGGAACCTGAGTTCCAGAAGGGGTGGATTGTCCACGCACTCCACTCATCCATCGCCAGTGAAGATCAAGAGAAAGCGTTCAATGTGCCACCGCCGGGTACGAGAAAGATTGTGATTGCCACCAACATCGCAGAAACTGGTGCGTTTCTCCCATCCATAACGAAGTGTAGTCATTAACAATGCCTAGGTATCACGATTCCGGACATCACTGCTGTCATCGATGCAGGTAAAGAAAAGACTATGCGGTAAGTGAACTAACTCTTTTGCACCCTCCGGTGATGCCCGTTACTAACAAAAGCTGTTAGCTTTGACGAGAGACGGCAGCTTTCGCGGCTGGTAGAGGCTTTTATTTCCCGAGCGAACGCGAAGCAAAGGCGTGGAAGAGCTGGACGTGTCCAAAATGGAATCTGCTTCCATTTGTTCACAAAGTACAGACATGAAAAATCGGTATGGCCTCTTTCACTCGGAGGTTGGACCCCAATGCTGACGATCTGTAGCTCGCTGAGCAACAAACACCCGAGATGCTTCGGTTATCCTTGCAAGATCTCGTGTTGCGAGTCAAGATTTGCAAGTTGGGTGAGGTGGAGCAAACTCTTCTCGAAGCACTCGACCCGCCTTCATCGAAGAACATCCGCCGAGCAATCGACTCCCTGAAGGAGGTCAAGGCGCTCACGAACGCGGAAAATCTCACGCCTTTAGGAATGCAGCTTGCGAAGCTACCGCTGGACGTCTTCCTTGGAAAACTGATTATCCATGGCGCGTTCTTCAAATGCCTAGACGCGTCTCTCAGCATTGCCGCTATCCTTTCCTCCAAATCACCTTTTGTGAACACAATGGGCTCGAATACCCAAAAAGACCTAGCGAGACTCTCGTTCAGGAAAGGTGATAGACAACCGATGCTTTTTATTGCTCGCACAAGCTGACTGTTGCAGGCGACTCTGATCTTCTGACTGTGTACAATGCCTACTGCGCCTGGAAACGCACGAAGAGCACACCCGGCGTTAACGAATTCTCATTCTGCCGAAAGAATTTCCTCAGCCCTCAAACACTATTGAACATTGAGGATATCAAGATGCAACTTGTAGTGTCAATTGCAGACGCAGGCCTATTGAACCTCGATCCTTCCCAAAAGGCGGCCTTGAACAGGTATGTCGGCTTGCCAACTTCCAATGCCTGTCCCGCACCTAACATCATAAAAGAGCTCGATATGGCGGTCGCCAGCGCCAATTCTTCATCATCCCCGAAGAATACGACGTGAACAGCACTAACGACGTAATTGTCAACTCTGTCATCACCTGGAGTTTCTATCCAAAGCTACTCACCCGCGAGGGCAAAGGGTGGCGGAATGTGGCCAACAATCAGTCGGTAACGCTGCATCCCACCTCGGTGAACAAGCAATCCGATCCTGCCATCAAATGGCTCTCATATTACCACATCATGCAGGGGCGCAACCGAAACTACAACGCCTTCGAAACCAATGCGGTAGACGACTTTGCCATTGCCTTGCTGTGTGGCGAGCCCGAGTTCAAGGTATGTTCGAGAGTCGGCAACCGCATTAACCACCGCAAATCTAACGAATCCTCCGTGACAGATGTACTCCGGCGTTATCTCCATCGATGCCAACCGGATACGATTCAGCGTTCGAGACTGGAAGTCGATGCTGGCACTCAAGGTTCTCAGCGCTCGTATCCGAGACATCTTATCTGGGACGTTCCGCGACCCGCAGAAAGTGCTGTCGTACAAGCAACAGCAGTGGATCGATATCTGGAACCAGATATTCTCGCAAGCGGGAAAGCATAACGCATAAAACGAACGGAAGCGTGTTTTTCAGCTTTCTTTTTTTTTTTTTTTTTTTTTTTCTTATCCTTTTTCAGTTCTATAAACTTGATGTGTTTCATGAGGTTTGGTTTTTGGCTGGCTGGCTGGCAGGACGGATTAATGTTGGGATGAGAAAAGAGGTGTCAGGGTGAAAGGGCAAAAAAGCATATGATTCACCTGTACATGATAGACTTGTTTGGTTTGCTTTGTTGCGCTTGTCGATAGCATATCTTTGGATAAGCGAGTCCTTTGTACTGGACAGGGGACTACGGGTTCTGTCAATGCCCTGTGATGAAGTCTATACCGATATGAAGAATATATCAAACATTGCACATTCAGCGATTACATACTCGTCTACTTACTACAGTGTTTATACTTTGTACACCAAACATGTGTCATCACCTCCGCTGCAGTGTATACGTCCCGATTGGGCAATGCCAACCCTCGTGACCGGGAGGGGTGCAGAAGCGCCGACGTCAAGATAAACATAGAACCAAAGCACTCCCCCTCATCTCCCTATCTCAATCAACAGAACCTGGCCTCCCACTTCCTCCATCATCATGTCAGCAGCACCCGCAATCTACCCAAGCCTTAACGGCAAAACCGTCGTCATCTCCGGCGGAGCAGAAGGAATCGGCGCTGCGACCGTCGAGCGTTTTGCATTACAAGGCAGTAAAGTGATCCTCCTCGATATCGCACAAGAGGCAGCCCAAAGCACAATCAACAAGGTCATGGAACTGACCAAAGAGGCTGAGGCACGCGGCGGCCCTTCGATTCACCCGCCGATCTTTTACCACTGCGACGTGTTGGATCTTTTCCGGCTGCAAGTGATATCCGCAAAGATCCTGGATCTGCACGGTCCGGTGCACGTCTTGGTCAACAACGCCGCCGCAACGGGCAGCAGTGCACGTCTTACTACGCCACAGGTCACGTTCAAGGACTGGGACTTCAACGTCAATACTAATCTCCGACATGTGTTCTTCCTCTCCCAGGCCTTTATCCCGGGTATGAAACAGTCTGGCGGAGGGAGTATTATCAACTTGGGATCCATCTCCTGGCGTATCCCGGCCGCTGGTCAGCCGGTCTACGCAGCCTGCAAAGCGGCGATTATGGGTCTCACGCGCGTGCATAGCAAAGAGTTCGGTCCTGACAATATTAGGATTAACAGTGTCATGCCGGGCGCTATTGCGACGGAGAGACAGATAAGGGATGTCTTGACGCCGGAGTATCGCGCGGAGGTATTTCAGAATCAGAGCCTGAAACGGGATCTGGCTCCGGAGGAGGTAGCCAAGGTGATTGTCTTCTTGGGAAGTGATGAGGCGAGCGGCATCACGGGAAGCTCGTATGTTGTCGATGGTGGTTGGGTTAGCGATCCCTGATCTATGTATCAAGGCGCTTGTCATTCTGGGTCGAAGGAATAGTCAGTGGCTATCTCGTCTGCTTGGGAATTTGAATGTTTCATGGGGACTGGATTTAGCAAGTTATTATTAACAATGTGTCATAAATTCATTGGTCTGCTTTCATGGATGGGACATTAGTTCTATTTCATGTCAAGTCAAGGGCCTCGCTTACACGATTCCAACGAATGCACATCTACTTCCACGGAAAATATAGGCGGGTTGCAGAATGACTGAACCAAGCTCGTCTGTTTTGGATTTTGCGTATAGCCCATCCTGCCAATGGCATTTCAACCTCCCATTATCCGGCGATTTGGAATGTGGAGGATTATGGTACTTGCTGGCAGCCTAATAAACGCTCTCTATCTATCACCACGATACTTGCGCAAACTAAAGACCGGCAAGTCATTCATTGTGCACGTGATTGATCACTAGAGCAGCCAGCCCTAAGCAGGTTTTATCTAGCCATAGATAGGCACACCACTGATAAGGACTAATTGTGTACTGCACTGTGGTAGAAACGCTCACTAAACAAGCCCCTGAAACTCTCATCGAAGCGGTAGCATCCCAAAGACGAGAGCTCCAGTGGCTCTAGAGAATAAGGTTTGTATAAGAACATGTGGTATACACAGTGTACGTACATACTACACTGGTATGGCTATCCAGATGGATAGCTACATGCTCCGAGATGCAGGAACAATGTCACCCGGGGTGCGTGCACAGCTGCTGGGACTCGAACAATCTGCTCGTCTCGGATTTCCTTGGGACTCACGAGATCTCTGTCCGACGGTAGGAAGGCAGCTGGCATGAACATATAGATACGAATCAGCTAGGGGATTGGGGAGTGGCTTGGCGGCCTGTTTTGTTATAATATATAGGGATATAGATTGTGGTATGTCAATGTCAGTTCCCTCTCGACCACCTACCACAGCAGCAGCACATATCCCAGAGCCAACACCGTACGTATTTTCCCTTACATGTCTAGGTAAGCAGATACGTAGGCAGGCAAGAAGACAGGTAGGTAGGTAGGTAGGATAAAATTCTTAACGACGTGGTAGTACGTACTACATGTACCACCTGAAAAAGCCGACACAGACATACAGGCCGGTACACACCGCACACCATTGCAAGATAACCAACGCAACCAGGTTCAGTCCAGGTCAATTCCATATTTCTTTCCCTCCCCTTGCAAACAAACCATCCGACCCTAACAATGGATGCAATGGAGTACAATGAACAATTAATTGAATTGAATTGGCCTAGGTATTCGGTTTCGGTTCGGATGATGATGACGACGACAACAACAATAATGGGCCACCACACCACATCGAATTTGCCATCTCGGTTTTCGATTTGGTTCTTCCCTGCTGGCCCCAGCCCCGTTTAGACCCGTCTGCATGCCTCCAGCTACTTGGCCAGTACAGTACATCCGGAATACGTGCGGTGGCTACCTAATTAGCTTGTCGGATGCGTGGAAAGTTTAAGCCGATTGAGACCGCCATCTGGAACCAGTAGAAGAAGGACAGAAAAGGCAGGGGGGAAGAAAAGAGAAAAAAAAAAAAAAAAAAAGAAAGAAAGAAAGAAAGAAAAAAGAAAAAGACAGAAAGGCACATGACGAAGAGCTCAGGTGACACGACATTCCACAGACCCGATCAAGGGGGGAAATGGAAGGGTGGTGGTTTTACCGAATCGAAGGTGTGCATGCATTGTATGTATGTGCTTGTTCGGTATTCTGTATGTATGCCGTGGGGGGGGGGGGGGGGGGGGGGGGGGGGGGGGGGGGGGGGGGGGGGGGGGGGGGGGGGGGGGGGGGGGGGGGGG